TTTACTTCTTGAACCCCTTGTTGTTTTTCCTATCATGCATTAAAGATTTTAGAAAACCTTTTGCAAATAAATATTAATCCTGATGGGCAGAATGAAATATGAATATAATATCTTCTGTTTAGAAATCCATATATGATTAGAAGGGACTTTTTAAGGCACATAATGTAGGTCATGGTTCATGGTTATGAAAGAAAATGATAAATATGCCCAAACAAGTTTTTCAATGTATTGAACCAATGATCAATTCATTCTGATGCCTTCAACCATGTCTTGCTCAATTTGAATCTGCTCATATGTGTCTCTCTCTTGATGCTCTATGATCTTCGAGTGAAGTAATTCTGGAATTTGTGCTTGATCAATCTCATAGTTTGATTCTCGATGTGTCATTTGAGTCGTTTCTTGTCCCTTTTTCTTTGCTTTTTTTATCTTCACACTTTGCATTTGGTTCACCTTTTGACATATCCTCTGATTTGATGTCTTCACTCATGTAAGTAAATTTCTTCCACCTTGCCCCCCATTATGGAGGGTGATCCTTGGTTAGGGTTGAATCAGAAAAAAAAATATTATATGCTCAAAAGGGGACAACAAGGGATATATATATATATATATATATATATATATATATATATATATATATATATATATACATAAATGGATAAATGAAACAAAGTCGTTCATCATCTCATACACAAAATTCCTCGCAAAAGCGGTATCCTCAGGGGATAGATTTTCAGGATTAATTCTATTCACATAAAAAATGTAATTAATGCATGATAGAATTATTTTGAAATAATTCTCCTTTTCTGCTTCTTGTTCCCAGCATGCCTCAATTGTTTAGGTTCATCTTCAGGAAGTTGATACTAGATGCCCCACGTTGTGTCTTTTGGTATGAAGGTTCATGTTCAAGTGAACATTCAACGTCTGCAGGTTTTATTGGTAAAAAAATGTTAGTTTTGCGTCTAAGAAGACAATTTTATTGACTCAAAGGTATCGATATGACTCTCCATGAATTATTCTAGGTAAAGAATCGAGGGATTTTTTTTGATTTTGTTTTTGGTTTTTTTTGGTTTTTTTGGAACATGATAAGAAAGGTTTGATCTTGCCATATGTCAAAAATCTCTAATTCTTGAAGAATTAAAAGAATCCTTAATTTATTTAATATTCGAAGAACTAAAGATTAAAATTTGCTCAATTATTTCACCTTAGAAGGCAGCATAAATTCAATTGTTTAAAAGATTACGCAAACATGAAAGATCAAAACGCGTTCAAACAAAACAATGCTCTCAGTGCAAATGGTAGATGCAATGCCCCCTTCTTCGATTTTCCATGCTTCTGAATCCATCAAGTTTTGATTCTTGCGCTTTTGTGCCTTGCAGTTCTTAGAGGAATGTCTGGAGCTTCCTATGTGGTAAATGTACACAACTTCAACATCGTAGCCCTTAAGATATGGGTACTCTTTTATCAGATCATCCTGGCAGGCTTAGTCCTTCAATTAGCTGAACAAGCTCCAACTGTACTGATTTCAATTTTTTTCTTTAATTGTTCAAATCTTGTTTCCATGTGGTGTCACGTGATTAAGAACACTACATCGAATCCTCCATGAAGAAATTTCATGTTTACAAAAATGCTTAAAAATGAAATGTAGATGCAAAAATGCATGAAATGCTTGAGGCATTGATCCGAAAACATGAACAATCCTTATTGGGGACAAAAGTGTTTTATCTTTTAAGAGATAAAAATATCCTGACAGCTTCTAACATGTTGACTAGTCTTCTGCCTTCTTCTGTCACAGGTTGAATAATCTGTCAAACCGTTCCAGCTTCTCTAGATGAATCGTGCAAATATTGAGTTGCTTTTTGTACTGGTCTAAGAAGTCTCGAATGACGACATCTCTGGCATTTACTTTTTGTTGAACCTGTTTCTAATGAATACGTCATTGGAGCCCTTAATTGATAGGAACTATGTGAAGTTCATTTGTTTATTTCTTGAATTCGTCAACAATGGTCTCCAATTTCAGCTATCGTTTTACCATTGTTGTCTTTGAAATGACTCACAAGAACAGTAACCTTCATCTTGCCCCTACGACCTCTGCTAGTCAATTCTTCAAAGATTGACTTTCATTGTGATTGATGTACACTCGGTTCATTCTGAGTCCTTTATAATGCAGCAGAGTGATATACTCTTCAATTGTGGGCATCACATCTTTTAGATTGAATATGGCACATAGTCGCCTTGTAGATTGTCCTCTGCATTTTCATCTCTTGTATTACAACCCCTTAGTCCATTAATACAAATTATTTATGTTTAACAAACACGTTTTTGTGGATCAACACCTCTTGCATTATGTTATGACAATTCAAATGCAATGCAGAAAAATATAAAAAAAAGTTAGTGTACGCAAAAATAAAGGTGAAATTAGTTAGTACATGTAAGATAATTAGTACAGATAAAAATGCCATTCAAAGATGAATATAACACCTACCCAGTCATGATATCTGCCCAAGCATGCTTTTATTAGATAGTAATCCTACCCAAACATGCTTTCTACCCACAAAGATATATTTACAAGAAATTAATCCTAATCGTATGGTATCTAGTTCGAATGCTTTGAACAGAAAGTAAAGCAGAAAAGAAATTAGCCTAGGGTTTGGAATGAAGTTTTGGGGTAGGCTCTAATTCTCCATAGTCTCCTGGTTTAGGTTCTAGAAAAGGTACTCGAGTTCTCCTTGCCGGAGCCCCCTTGGCTTGCCAGACCCTTAGTCCTAAGCCCATTACAAGCTTGTGTGGACTAAGTTAAACTCGAGAGGATACATTCCCTTATGCCCATACGGAGAATAAATTCACACGAAAGCATAAGGTATATGAATCCCGAAGGTTACTTGCTAGGCCCATACGGAGAATAAATTATCACGAAGACGTCGCTTTCACCCCCACTTAAAAGGGTTCGGAAGCTCGGGTATAGAGCCTTAGATGAAAAAGGTTAAAGATCTGAAATCATTGGAAAAAAAATCAGTACAACTATTTATTTGAAAAATAATCAAAGATAAATAATTGGAATCGAATAAATAAATTAAAATTAAAATTTATTATTTTCGCATAAAAAGACAACCGAAAATTAATTTTGACCTGACTCACTTACATGTCCCCAGCGGAGTCGCCAAGCTGTCGCAACCGCCTCTCGGGTGGGCCCGGAATTTGGCTTCGACTTGGAATAAAATATTGGAGTCACCACCGATCATTTCTTTTTCGTAAAAATTTTATTTGATCGGATACCATCTTATATGATATGTGTTTTACAAGAAATATGTCGGGTTCGGGAGACGGTTATAGTTAAGGAATGATTAGCACCCTTGAACTGCCCTTTCGGTACCATTTAATTTGTCGGTTGTCTTAATTGCGAAAATTGAAATTTAAATTAAAATTTAGAAATTCGATTCAAATTACTTACTTTTGATTGAATAAAATTATCCTGAAAAGATCATAAATAAAGTAAGAAAATAAAACAAACAAACACAAAGAGTTAGTATTAAAATCAAAATAAAAAAAATAGTAACTAAAAGGAATAAAAGAAAATTCAAATTAAAAATTAAATTGGAAATAATTAAAATTTATAGATTGAATTAATTTTAAGAACGAGCTGTAAAATAAAAACAGAAACTTAAGGGATTAAATAACAAAAGAAAAAGAAGTACAAAAATAGAACAAATAGAAAATTAAAGGATTAAAATAGTATTAATAGAAACTAGAAGGTTAAAATAAAATAACATAATTAAAGTGTTAAAATCAGAAAAAATATAAAAATAATTGTTCGGATGTATTTTCTCTGATCTTCCATCGTTCACCGTCCGATCGTTCTGAAATTTCAGTATGTTGTTCGTGTTGATCTCGCGCAACTTTTGACCGTTCAGAATATTGATCGGATATCTCGATCGCCGGCCAGAGGCAAAAAACTGTCCGAATTTGTTTTTTCCGATCTGCTACCGTCCACCGTCCGATCGTCTTGATTTTTCAGTATGTTGTTCGTGTTGATATCGTCCAACTTTTGACATTTCGAAATATTGATCACCGGCGAGAATTCTGACATAATTCAAGACCATTTTATTTATTTTTTATTTTTTTTCCTTCAATTTTCTTGTCTCTCTCTCACGTATGGCCTCCTCCCCCTTCTTCTATCACATATTACATATATATATATATATATATATATATATATATATATAACATAGGAAAATAATTAGTATAAGTGGAAGAATAAAACATAGAAGAAAACATGGAGTGGTGGAAAGATTGGTGAAGGCATGAAACATGGGATAGGTGAATTTAGTAGATTTTTAAGTTTAGTGCTTGGGTAATAATAATAATAAATTTTTTTTCGACCCAAACAAAAATGGGTGTCTACATGTCTCTCCTGATACTTCATTCCAATCACAAGCTCCTGCACCTCCTCATTTGCCCACCTCTTATTATGAATGTCAACAAATATGCTCCTTTGTCTCCCTCAATTGCCCGATTAATCCGTCTCCTGATCCAAAGGCTTTTATTGGGGCTGTAATTTGAATTTAGGGTTTGGTTTTATATTTGTGGTATGATTTTAATATTTAGGGTTTATTTTGAGGTTTAATTTTATTTTTCATTTTAATCTTTAAAAATATTAATAAAATATATAATATTATAATAAAAATAATTTAAAATTCAGTAATTAAATTAAATTTTTTTAGATTTTAATGACTAAAATAGGAGTGATAAATAGTTGAATGATGTAGTTTCCTCTTAATTTTTCATAATATTTCAATAATTTAATTTCTATATCTATTTTTGAATATTTTTAAATTTTAAATTAAAAATAACTTTATTTAAAAAAATAAATGAACCATCAACCTTTCGAATTTCGAAAATAATCAATTTTCTTAAAAAAAATTGAGTGCTTCGAACCAATAAGCCTTTTTCATATTAGTTAATAAACTTTAAAGCTATTAATATTACAATATATCAATTTTATTACATTTGATAATTGAAAACAGATTGGGAACTCAGTTCTATAGTGCTGTGGAGTCTCGACTGTGCGCTGCTCCTCTCATATATTTTTGCAAATCAACATTGAATCTCTAGGTCAGTGGAACTTCCTTTTTTTCATCTTTTCCCGTTAACAAAGGTGCGAAAGAGAACCGACTCCAAATACAATCGGTTAATTTCTTCTGTTTTCGCTTCTTAGTGTAGACGATTACATACACAACTAGATCTGCATCTTCAAACTATACCAAGCAAAAATTTTAGGAAACTTCATATGGCGTCGCGTTTGCAAATTGGGGGTGATGCCTCAGTACTGCTCCGAGTCACTCACTCCAACCTCAAAAGCTTCGCCGCCGACATTCGCTTTTCCCTTCAGGTTCTGATTTCCATCAATTTATTGTACTCTAATGTATTCCTCAGCTTTCTTTTCTTTTCCTTTTTTATAAATAAATTAAAAAGAAATTAATTTGTTATAAAGATGAGCGTGGAAGCAGTGAAAGAGAAGCTATGGAAGAAATGTGGGACTTCAGTAAATTCAATGCGGTTAGAACTGTATGATGATTGTAAAAACAAACTTTTTGATTTGAGTGATGATTCAAGACCTCTTGGTTTCTATTCTCCTCTAGATAGGTTAGTTTTTCCCAATTCCCCTTTTTATTTGTATTGTTAGTTCTAAATTTATCGATATTTATTCTAGAACATATACATTATTTTATTTTGATTCCTTCCTTTTCGCTGTAAAAGGTTCCAAATACACATTATAGATCTTGATCCTTCGTCGGTAACTTCGGGAGGGTGGCTTGAAGATACGTCATTAGTAGAAAAGTATACGATTTCTGAAGATGAATACAGTAAACGTTCTGGTAAGTCAGTTACCTGCAAAAACTGATTCTGCAATGTTATCGACTTGAAATTGTTTTCCTCTACTTTTGTTTCCATTTAATTTAGCATTTATCTATTTGTAGTGGTTTGAGCTTTTTTTTCTGTTTCAGGTACATTTAGGAAATTCAAGGAACAGATGGCATCTCAAAATCCATCTGCATTTAGGAATAAAGTAAGTGTCTTATTTGATATATACGTGTGTTTGTGTTTGTATGGGGAGAGAATCAGGTTCTGGGTATATATTTGGGCTCTTGATCATCCTTTGAAGACTGTTTTCCCGAGGATATATGCTCTTTCATTGAATCAGTTTGGGACAATTAAGGAATTTGGTGAGTTCAATTCATCGGGGTGGTCTTGGTATGTCCAGTTGAGAAGAAACCTATGTGATTGGGAGTTAGAACAGTTTTCTAATTTTCTAATCATCATTCATAATTTCAGCCTATTCCAAGAGTCAAGAGATGGTCTGCTTTGGAGAGGGAATGGGGAAGGCATTTTTACTGTTAATTCTTGTATGAAAACTTGTTTTGTTGAATCGGTAAAAGATAGTTTCTGGGAGAAATGTATTTGGAAGGGGTTGGTGCCTCCTAAAATAGAAACTTTTATGTGGCAAGTTGCCCATCAGAAATTGGCAGTTAAGTTTGAGCTTCAAAAAAGAGGGGTTTCGGGGATTGTTGATGTTTCTTGTCCTTTGTGTAAAAGAGAGATTGAATCTATTCCTCATCTATTTTTCTCTTGCAAGGTGGCATGGTCCCTATGGAATAAGTTTTTGAATTTTTGGAATATTAGTTCGGTCCTTCATGGAAATGCACAAGGATTTTTACTTGCTTGGAATGACATGATGTTTTCTTCTTCTATTTGGTCCTTAATTCCGGGGTAGTGCTTTAGACCATTTGGAAATTTAGGAATGACGTGGTGCTTGAAGGAAGGTCTTTGGATCACATTGAGTTATTTTTCATGGCTAGGCTAAGGCTTGCTTCTTGGTTCTTAGCTAAGTTCAACGGGGTTAATATTACTAAAGACTCCCTGATAAGTGATCCATCTATTGCAGATTTCTGTTCTTCTTCCAGAAATTTGGCTACTAAAATTGTGTCCTGGATTCCTCCTCCAAAGGGTTTTCTAAAACTGAATGTAGATGCAGCAGTTTGCAATGATTGGCGAATGATCGGTGTGGATGGTTTACTAAGAGATGAGGCTGGTAAGATTATGGGTTCTTTTAAAGAATCTGCAGATCCAAGCCCTCCAACTTTGCTGGAGCTTGTTGCCATCAAGAAGGGTGTACTTATCTTTGAGCATATTCTTCAGAGGTTTAAGAATCGGTGGATTGTTGAATCTGATAGTAAACTTGTTGTGGATTGGGTTAAGAATTTAGATAGTTGTCCTGGTGTTTTCCTTCATCTAGTCAAAGATATTGTTGCCATGATAAGAGTTTTGGAAGGAGCTATCAGATGGGTTGACAGAACGGCAAACATAGAAGCTGATAGCTTAGCTAAGGCTGGTATTGGGTAGTTATTGTTTGTTGGGTTGGGATATTGTTTAATTGAGTGAAAGATGTGTTCTTTGGTGTGTTTCGGGTTGTTTTTGTAAGGGGCTTCTTTGTTTTAAACATTATGTAATCTTTTACTTATTAATGAATTATGAGGCACTTTTTTGCTCCTTCCGCTGATTAAGGAACACCAATTGGTGTTCCGTTAATCATGAAGGGGGTTTTTAACGAGGCCTTAACTTCCTATAAAAAAAACAATATCATCTAATCTTATATGCAAGTAGGCACTAGCAAGGTTTTTTGCTGCTTATTACGAAGTGCAATCTTGTATTTATTGCTTCTATTTCTGTCTTCGTCATGCTTGATGAACTCATTTACAGATGTCAGACAACTACATGGAAGACCTCTGTGCAAATATCAAGGTTGGTGTGAATTATCAATTTTCACTTTTCATCTTGTTGGATTCTCATATTGCCCATTTTCAGTATGTGCTTTTTTTATGAAGAGAAGGGAACAAGGTAATACATTTATCATTTATTGATTTATTCCCTTTGGACATTGATAGTCCCAGAAGGAATTTTTCTGTATCTGCTCACTTGAGTCTTGACAATGGTTTCATACTGACGAGAAAAATTAAATTAAAAAAAAAGTCGGTAGTAGCTAAAATTTTCTGGTTTCATCATCTTTACAGAACAGATATTTGTCAGTTTCATTTGTGCTTCTATTTTTTTCTTTTTGAAGTGCCAAGTAATGATGACTAAAACCTGTAGTTTTTGTTTCTAGATGTTTAAGGGAAGCTAATGAGGGTCTTAAACTGATTGATAGGGTCCATTATTAAATATTACCATGACAAATAAATATCAGTTAATTCAGTGTTTTATGCTTTATAATGCTTGCCTAAGACTGAATGTAGTGTTGTTATATCACTTCTAGAATATGTTTCACATACTATTTTTCTGGAGTTAAAGACATCCTTGGTATTTTTCCTCTGTTTCTCAATATAGTGAATATCTCCTTGGCTGTTTTGCATCTTGCTTCAACTTATGTATCATAGATTTTCGCCAAGAATATCCTCGTTGTTTCAAATCAGGTAGGAGACAGGTGTGAAGTTGACCCAGGGGAGAAAAGAGGAGTTGTCAAATACGTGGGTCGAGCAGAAGCATTAGGACCAGGATTTTGGATTGGAATTCAATATGATGAACCACTAGGAAAACATGATGGCACGTATGTAAACTTTGTATCTTTATTTTCCCTGATGTTGTCACTATATATATATATATATATATGTGATAGAAACTCCTTTAAGGATAGATTTTTTTTGTTGTCAATTATGTCTTTTTAAAAGAGTGGTATCTAATTTATTCAAGTTGAAGGTTATTTCTGTTCCTTTTTCTTAATGCAGATGCATTAAATTGGTTATCCTTGTCAGATGCATATTAAATATTCTATCTTATTTGGAGGCATTTTTATCTAAATGAAAGGAAATGATTTTATTGAGTTTAGTGGTGGACAATCAATGATAGGAAATGGGAAAATTTTGGATTGAGTTAATACTTTTTTGTCGTGGTTACATAACATAGTATAAAGGATCTATATTCAGTACGTCATTCTCAAGATTGTTATTGCTTGGTGTAGCACTCCTTGTTTACCTCAACATTATGACTTATAGCCTCATGTCATGTTGATATGCATGTTGTCAGCTGCCTGTTATTTTTTGTTCATGCTTGAACCAGATATCGTGGTATTAATTCTGTTTGTCATATGACTTACAGCCTTATTTTTTGGATGCTTAATGCTTGAACCGCATTGAGTTAATACTTTTTTGTTCGTACTTTTTAGTGCTTTATTTGTTACAAAATCTGTTTGTCATATTGCAGGGTGAAAGGAACTCGGTATTTTCAATGCCCTCCACTTTGTGGTGCAATGGTTAGGCCTGACAAAGTAAAGGTTTGTATGCAAATATGATAAGTGGTTTAAGCATTCTGGGGTTTCTTTGTGGCATTTTCAAGTTCAAATAGTTTTAGGTTGATAGTCCTTTTATGGAGCATTCCACTCCAATGAATTAATAAATTACAAGAGCTCTCCTTTAAAGCTCAACCCTAGACAAGCTTCGTACTCACTGGCATCTTACTTTTTCCTTGTTCTACTTGTGGACCTTTATTCGAAGAGCTTCTAATACATATGCATCCATGATGGAGTTGTCCAGACTTTAAGAAAGAGTGTTCACTACACTTTTTCATTGTCCATAGTTACTTACCTTATAACATGGTTTGTTTTATCCCGTGTTTTCTTCTAATTATTATTTGTAGCATAATTAAAATAGAAAAGGAAATTTATTGTTGACTGCTAATTGATTTATGGTATTGGATAGGATATAGGAAGGGATAAGAATTTTAAAAGATGGGATAAATGTTGAAGACATTAGTACTTTGCAGATTTGGATATAAGTCCTACCCTAGTGATGCTGTGCCTTTTTTGCCAATCTATGAAGTGACTAACGATAAGGGAAAATTAGTGAGTTTCATTCATTTGTGTTCAAAAGATTTGTGCAAGACTTCTCTGTTAAATTATCTACTGCTGATGGACTCTCAGTTTTTGTCTAATTTTTCTTATTCATTATATAAAAGATTTTGCATATATGTTTAGTAGGCAGCTTAATCGATTTTCGCATCTCAAGTCCAAGAGTTGTATTCTGTCAGTAAAACATTTGGGGTCTCCTGTCCTTTACCTGTGTTTCGGCTTCTATTGATTTGAAACTTAGAATGGCACTTCCATTTTCAGGTTGGTGACTATCCTGAACGAGATCCCTTTGAGGAGGATGAGATATAATATGGTTGTGAAAGGGTACTGCTAAATTTCTGTTTCCAAGCAGTTTCAATAAACATTACAGATTGACAATGATACATTTGTATTTGATGGTATTGTAACATATATGGTATGGGAATGACGAGTGAGACTGTTTGAAAGATGATAAACTTTAAGCATGAAAAGCTGGTATTCTTCTTTTTGAGCTTGCTTCCTGACTTTTGTTGCAGGAAAAGAACAGAAAAGATCCCAGAACAGGGTACAGAGATGATACTTGAGCAGAACTGGCCTATACTCTTCTTGTTCCATTTTCACCATGAGCTTGAACATTAGAAACTATTCCCTGTGTGATTGCTTAAAAGTATAGATTGATTGAGTTCTGTTGAAGGAATATTGCAAACTATGTTTTCCTTCAACGATCCACACTTTTATGATGGTCAAAACCAGGTATGCAAATAAAGCTTGCTTGATATTGGGAATATAATTTTGAATCTAAAGTTCAAAAGATTTTGTACTCACCTTGTGGTAGTGGTAGCTAATGCTTTCAAACACACTAGATTCATAATTGAGCCACAACAAGACCGGTTGTCATCTAGGGACATTGATGGCAATCTTGGTTGGGGAAGATTTTATAGCCTTGAAAATATGGGATTGAATTCCAGCTCTTTGCAAAGCATATTCATTTAAGTAGATTACTTTGCAAAGCATTTCATTTCATCCTATTATTATTCACTTAGATCACTTTATTGATATGTTCATATCAAAACCAATCATTTAGTTATCATTACACTTCATGGTTCATACTTCACAAATAATCATGGGTTACCTCGAATCAAAATTCTCAAATTTACTAAGATCGTTATAAACAAAACTTGAATTCATCACCTTTTCATTGAAACCAATCTTCTAGCTTCCCTTAAATATTATCTTATTTGTTTGAAGAACTAATGAATAGATGAAAAGTCTTGTTTCATTTGTTGAGTTAATTAAAAATCCTCCAACACTTTCTCTCTTAAATCCTTTAATTTCGGTGTTGATGAAGAAGGAAGAAGAAAAATGAAAAAATGATGGTATCCCCATTTTCTTCATTTCGGTTGGTAACTTAGGAGAGAAATGGTGGATTATGATTCATTTACTTATATCCATTTAGCATGGAGCCTCCAGAATCCCAGATTGATATGCAAATGTTGAGTGATCATCTTCCACTATCCCCCTTCTAGGAAAATTGCCCTTTAAGGACCCTTTCTTTTTCCCTCATCCAAATTTTTTTAAAAAAAATTACACATAATTATTTAATTCTTTGTTTTAAGCTTTAAATTGAATTGATTTGATGTAGGAGTTGATTCAATAAATTAAATTAATTAATATATAATTGTATCTCAAGATTTTATTATTTTTTAAAGGAAGATTTTATTAAATTTAACGTCCGTCAATTAAATTTCGACATAAAAATTTAAAGATACTAATATTACATATTTTTCCATAAATATATGTTTTTTATGTATTATACTTTTTTTTATCAGGAAGAATATTTAGTATTTTTTATATATTTTATTTTTTGTAAATATAATCAAATTACTAACTTCACATATTTATTAATATTTATATTAAAATACTTGTTCATGTTTATATTAAATTATATATTTAATTTTCATATAGTACAAATTAAATAATAAACGAATATATATTATAAATTTTAAAAATAAGCTAGACTGGATCAAGATTAGACCTTGACTACTAAAACTCGAGCTAAACTCGTATTTTAAACAAATTTATTTATTTTTTTAAATATAAACTTATCTTTTTAGACCTAATTATTTTCATCAAACCCATTTAAGTATGGTGGGAACTTTGAGGCTTAAAAGTTGTATTCTTTTGATGCCCTTTATGGATGTCTTATAGGCGAGAGGCATAGGGCTAAAATCATTATGTAAATAAATATAGAATAATATGGATTTCATAACGTATTCAAAAGAAATGAGATCTTTCATGATTAGCAAAACAGTTGGGATGTTTAGTGGGAACTTCAACCATTAATATATATGTGTGTGTGTTTATAAAGATTGTTTAGATGTAATGGATGCAAGCTATAAATCCTTTTTTTTATGTTTATTTTTAGGAAAGCACTGAAGAAGAAAGATTTGAAGAGAGCTAAAATTGGAAAGTTATAATTGGTTATGATGTTTCCTAGCTACTTGAAACATCATCGCTTTTAGCTTTTCTTTTTTACTTTTAAATGATGCTTGATGTCCTTTTATAAATGGATAATTTTATTTAAATATATATATATATATATATATTAATTATTGATATTCTATTTATTGATTGATTAATTTGAATAAAAAACTACAAAAGTCTATTTATAAAAATGACTCGCGAAAATCTTACGTTTTACTATTTTTTTGATATTATAGTTCATGGGGGGAGAAAATGGTCAAAAAAAATTTATGTTGCTCTTGGAATTAAGTGAAATAAGATAACAAGGCATGAGAACATTGGGATTTTATTAGTACCAAATGCTATTGCAATAAAGTGATTAATTTATGGTCTCTTTTCCCCCTTATTTCCCAATGAAGGATAGACAAGTAAATAGAACTTTTTCATTGCAAAAATGAATCATCCATTTAGGGAAACATACAATAATACTGAGAAGCTGGTCTCCACCATTTTCAATTTCCATACTTTAATTGTTCATATTTTGCTTGACACATAAAAGTTTAGGTAGATTTTATGTGAAAGGAATCTACTTGACTACTTCTGTATAACTCATATATTATCCTTATGAAATTGTTTAAAAATTCTTTTCTTTTATTCAGAATTAGAATGTCTTTTATGTTGAATCCATTTGAGTGACATCAGTGCTAAAAGTAAGTGTTGTTCTTTTTAGAAGATTCAGGTTTGAACAATTGTATCTATAGTGTGTACATGTCAATGGTTAAAAAAGATTCTGAACAGATTCTATCTTCTAATCACTATAAACTAATAAATAATATCTTTTATATTCATTTTGTTATTTAAAATACGTATCTTTCAAAAATTATGATGTCTTTTTTTTAAAAAAAAAATACTATCTCAAAAGTTTAAATTTTAATGCATATATACCATTTAATATCAACTTTAACATAAATAAAGCTATGGGGACATTTACATGTACTTTTTTTTTCCTTTTCATACTAATGCAAATGAAAAACGTACATGCATGCAAAATTTTGAAGGGGATTCGACATCCTTATGAGATTCGACTATTTCAATTCTGAACATGTGTTTTTAAGATTATGTTACTACAATGAATAGAAGAAGCTCTTGGAACATACAAAGATTAATATTAATTTAGAGTTCTTAACTTAAAATTAAAACACGTTAAAATTAGTATATTTGTTAAATAAATATTCTAAAAACCCTATTCTCTTTTTCTTCTTTTCTCGTCGCTTGCCCTTCTTTCTTCTTCACTTGCTAGGCAGTAGGACTAATCTTAGTGTTGGTTGTCGATCACATGTATTACTTAATTTTCTTATATTTTTATATTGTATCTTTATTTATTTATTTATTGTTTTTATTTTTTAATAACACTGTCTTTATGACACGTTTTTTTTACCTCTATGTACGCTTTCATCTGTCTTTTGGCATGCTTTTATTTACTTTATCGGTTGTTTGGTCATTTTTTTGTTTATTTTTTCAGGGTTAGATTTGACGTCGCCACGACTGATCAAGATGTCACTTCTTTATTATTCCGTTAATCTCCCATGCTTTGGACTCTCAGATTGGACTTAGATACACTGTTTGCATTCATAGATAGTTTTCTTATGACGCTCGATTCTGATTTACGATTGACGGTGGTTTTTCAATAGATTAATCCCATGTTGTGGTTCGTTTGCGGATGCAATCAGATTTGTTTGTATCTATCTTTTATTCGAGTTTTTTGGATGGATTTTAATTTTTTTTTGTATGATCCTTCTATGATCTCAAGTGGCTAGTTATTTTGTGTTATTAGTTATAGGAAAATATTATGATCTTGTGTTTAGTTTATGAACTTCACTGTAACTTTAAATTTTTTTTCCTTTTAATAAAACTAGCAGCTCTATTTGCATCAAAAATATATTATCAAATTCATATAACATCATATATGTTATATATTTTGTTTAAATAGTCTGATGTGGTTATAATATAATATTTGTTTATAATCTTTCTTAGTCATTATCAATTCACACATATCCTGCAGACACAACTGCTTAAATCTAGGATTTCTAGGAATAACAACACTCTCTTTAACCACTGAAACCGCTTGATTAGTTCATATGTTATACTTTTAGGGATTGTTTATTAAAATTTAGACATTGGTCCATTGCCTTCGGATATTATTTGATCAACTTTGGACTTTGACCTTTTGTTTTATTGACTTTATAATAATTTCTAAGCACACTTTCATTTGAATCAATCTCAGACTCTTGAAAATTCATTACTTAACACCGATTTTCGGTTTGGTTAGCGACTATAAAGAGCCTAACAACACAATTATTTGTTAAAACAAACAAACTTGTTTCATAACCAAGCATCATTAAAGATATTAAATTAAAGTCAGAATGTCACAACGGAATATAAAGGATAAATGTTGGCAATAATGTTTAGGACAATCAGATACCATAAATTCATAATAATAAACTATGATGATATGCAGCTGGATTTACGACAATTAGAATATATGCATCTGCACATTTTTGCAAATAGAGAATAATTTTCCCATTAAATTTATTGAGTCGCTTCAATGGTTAAAAAAAGTGTTATTCTCTCTTGATGTTCTAGATTCAAACATGTGTACATTGTCAATAATTAAGAAAGATCATAAATATATACTACATTATAATCACCCATAATAATTTTCCCATTAAATTTATTGAGTCGCTTCAATGGTTTAAAAAAGTGTTATTCTCTCCTGATGTTCTAGATTCAAACATGTGTACATTGTCAATAATTAAGAAATATCATAAACATATACTACATTATAATCACCCATAATAATTTTTCCATTTATGAGCGAAAATGCATCTACAAGAATAAATATATTTATATATGGAGAAATTGAAGGTTGAGACAAGAGAAATAGTATTAAGAAATGAAGGGTTTAGCTGTAAAATTTTGGGAGGCCAGAAATGACAAGGGGGGCAAAAAGGAGGATTACAAGGAGGGAATCCAGATTTAGATAATGCCAATAATATTATTAAGCTGTCCTGTGTGTTCACACTCAATTGTTGCATTCATACAAGACAATCAACCAATCAATTTTGTCCATTGCTTACATAAATAATTAGACAACTACCTATATAGCCAATTAAGCTTCTCCAAAAACAAAACCCCGTTGAAATGAAGAAAAGAAAGAAAGACAGCTCATTTCTTTCAATATAAAAATGTGATGGTATTCCATGTAGCCTAATAAAGCCCAAGAAAACCCCCTACCACCAAAACCCTTCCATATTTTATAACATAAATTTATTGTATTTAGTCATCTAATCATTCA